ACTACACCTATTGTACTGATAAGAAAATGATATGCAAGCATAGGGCAGTGTGCTTAGCATTTGTTCTGAGCCTTCTATAAAGTGCTGTTTAGGATTATTGTTTTGTTTTTATTCTCCCAACAGTCACACATGGCAGACATAAACTTGTCCCACTTTTAAGATAAGAAGACTCAGATCTGAAGAGGTTAAGTAGCTTGACCAAGGTCATTGCTACTGTCAATCCTGGTCCCTAAGCTGCCTTTTCTAAATGCCATGCCCCTCCCCCTCTCCCACCTCCATTTCTTTCTCTGATTGGCTGTCAGTATGAGGCAGGGCTGGTCCTGCTGCAAATACACAAATCAATAATTCTTCTAGGAGGAGTCCTGGAAAACACATTGCGCACACATACTCCCACACCTTCTTCTCCAACTGGAGTCCTGTAGGTGCAGAGTTTGGCATCACGGTCCTATCACTACCTTCCATGTTCCCACACCCACCCACGCCTTATACTCTTTGCTTTGCCACAGGAGCCCCCATGATGCCCAGGAGAAATCCACTCAATGTTAACTCTTTCCCAATACCCCTCAGCACCAGAACATTCCCTTTCCACTCAACAAAACATATCAGCAAGTTTGCCACCAGCTATTCCAAGAACGTGAAAACTAAATCCTAGTAGGACAGTGATGTATGGGGTGGTGATAATTCTACCAAGGGATTTTTGCAGCTTAAACAAGGATCTTTAGGGGAAATAACCTAGAGAAATCACTCAAATTGTAGAATTTCAGGCAGTGAAACAGCTAGGGGACGTACATTTGGACAGAAGATGCTGCCTTGTTCCCCTAAATGAAACAACACAGGGGAACTCACATGTTCAAGAGTAGGTTTGCCAGCAGTGTGTGGGGCTTAGAATAAAGCCAGGATAAAGATCTGCTCTTACAGCATATTTTGCCTCCTTGAAACAATGTCCACTTTAAAAATTATGTAATTTTAGGTGTTTGTCATCAGTGTGTTTGTCTTCAATTAGGAATTCTCAATATTGCAAACTAAATGTGGCAGAAACCTCTATCTCAGAGAGATTGTAGGCAGCCTTGGATAAAAGGGAGAAGGCTCAACAACACATGAGAGCTGGATTAGTCTGCCATAGAAAGGTCTGGAAAAGCCAAGTTACACACAATTAATGGAACAATGCAACAATCTGTCTTCAGCTGGCCAAGGCAATTCTGTCATTTGTCCCCCAGCTGCAGAACGATCATGCACTCTGTGATTTTTGCCTCACTGTCTCTGCTCCATAAGGGTAGCATTTGTGGTGAAATCTATATTTCCCTGCAACTGAGTCTGTGCTTTTATTATTATTTTTTTAAATTTTTATTCTAAAAACAGTGGACCCTCTTGGGACTCTGCTTCACACCTGTGCTTGCCGGCCAGGCCATTTTGATCTGAGTCTCATATTGATCCTTTTTTGCACATTATTTTAAAAATCACGAAGGCACAAAAAGAAAAGAACAAACATACTGTAGGAAAGAGGAGGAGAAACTACATTATAATGGAAATGCAACTAAAGATAACATCTCACTCAGATTATTTTACTTCTAATTATATTGCTCGACTCATTCAATCAAAGAAGCACAACATTTCTTGTTCAGGGATTAAGTAAACATTTGTTACGTGAACAATAGAATCATTTAACTTGCAAATGATGACACCTGTGGAGGTGAGGCACTAAGGACTGTGCTGGCACAGGTCTGCCAGACTCACCATGAGAGCAGGCCTCCTTCCTCCTGATCCATTTATAAATGATAACCTACCCCTGGGAATGCTTATTATATATTTTCCTTACTAGGTGCCTGGCAACCTACTAGATCCTTAACATTTTCTTGTTTAAACCCTGCAATGAATCTTTGTCTGTCCTTGCTCTGAGCAGTATAAGCATCTTCATTTTACAAATAGGTAAACTGAGGCTTAGGGAGGTTCAATGGCTCGCCCAAGTTCACTTTCCATGATAGAATGTGTCAAGGGAGACAGAGTGCTTGGGTTCAAATTCTGGCTGAGTGACATTGGCTAGTTACTTGACCTTTCTGTTGCTCAGTTCCTTCATCTATAAAATGGAGATAAGATTGTTAAGAGATTGAGAATTAAGTCTGTTATTATTGAGAATGAAATGAGTTACTCCTTATAAAGTGCCTAGAACAGTCTCTGGCATAAGGCAGGGACTAGATAAGTGTCTTTTTTCAATAAAAGATAAATAAAATAAGGTCACACTACCCGGGGGGTGCTGAGTCAGGAGGTAACCAGGACTGTTATTCTCCAAAGCCACACTCCCCCAATTTTCTTCTGTGATAGGACAATACCCAAAAACCTGAGTTCCTGAAAGCACTGGGCCTGAAAGGAGAGGGCTAAGGAGCAGAAAGTGGAGTCTGGAGGTACTAAAGGCACACGTGGTTTCCCTCTTAGCCTTCCAGCTGGCCAGGCCTTAGCCCATGCACCACTCACAGACTTTGTTCTGGTTCTCCATTGGCTTGGCTTTACTACCATGGTCGCTGTGGTCATTATCTACATGAGTCTTTGGTGATACAGCAAAACTCCTTTCCCCATCTGAGCTGTTTGCTATCTGTAGTCAATTCCTGAAGGTGGAAAGCAGCTACCCAGCTTGCAATTGTTATTCGACTCCCAAACTCTTATTTAATATCGGCAATATTAAATCATACTGGCCCCTGGGACACTAAACATTCATCTTCAGCTGTAACAGATTTGCTGGTGTTTATTTAAAGAAGCGTTTGCTTTGTGTACTCACAGCCACAGTTTGATGTTGCTCAAGGAAATGTTACAAAGGATGAAGTACACATCTGAGATTGGCCCTCTCTTCTGGGGGAGGAAGTCTCGTATCAAGAGGCAGAATCTGTGTTTCAGCTTTGACACTAATTTGCTCCTGGCCATTGAGCACATCAATTCCAACTATCAGGTCTTTCTTTCTTATGTCTGTAGTGGTGAATTCTGGCTTTCCTTCTAGTTCTCCCATTTGGTAGAAAGAGTTAAACAAGGGGAAGAAAGTAAAAGTAATTTCCAACATATCCTCCTTTACTATCACTTATCTACATGTAAAGTGGTGAATTCATCACATTTCCACCAGAAGAAAGCTCCCAGGTCCTTAGAGACCTACTCAACTCCACAAATAGAAACTAAGTTTGGTCAGAAGGAACGTTGTCTTTTGCAAACAGGGAATTGGACACTGAAAGTTGAATCCCTTCCTAGACACACCCTGTTCTTTGCGATTTACTCACAGAATGATTAAAGCTTAAAGCATGCTTTGCCCCAACTTTGGACAGAAATAAATTGGGACTACTTTGGCCAAGGTAGAATTTCAAAACATGAATCTACCAGAGAATGCTACAGATGTTGGGAAATGCTACAGATGTTGGGAAACACTTCACTTCAGTGTTTTATTTGTGTCTTTGCTGGCTTGTTTTGTTGTTTGTTTTCTCTTCCCCTCCTTTCCTATATCCTTTCTTCCTTCCTTCTTTTCTTCTTTTTACAAAATTCAGAGTTATGAGCTAAACCATGCATTTTCAAGAAGGACAATATTGCACTGAGGAGGCAAAAATTGTTTCTCACATGAGCGAAAAAAAATCTTACTCATTTTATGTATAGAGCACAGATACACATATGGTACATAAACATACGCATGATAGGTGGTATTAAAATTTTAAGGTGAGGCAGTGACAGTCTTTTTAGGTGATAGGATAATGGAAAAAAGGCTGGGAAACAGTGAGCTAAACAATGGATACTTTGGGGAAGAAATAACAGCAAAATGTAAAAACATCATGGTATCTCATCAACCGAAGCTTTGAGAAGGTCAAAGGCAGTCTGGTTATTTTGATATTGAAAACTGGGCCTCAGAGATTAGTTGAACAGCCACAGTTTCATTTGGAGGGCTTGGTCTTATCAGCCCCTCCTGCACTCAACACATCCCTATTTTTGGAGTCTTCATGATGCATTAAAAAAAAACTATTGGGTGTGGAATTAACAGACAGAGACCTGGTCCTGCTTCTGCCATTTACTGGCTTAGATAAATCACCACCTTTCTGGACCTCAATTCCCTTGTCTATAAAATTCAGAAAATAATCCCTGCTCAGCCTGCTTCACAAGGATCTGGTAAGGATCAAACGAGATAACGTGAGTGACAGAACTTTAAACACTGTGAGGTCCTGTGTGGAGATTTAGGGCAGGGGGAGGGGGAGGGGTGGTAGCGTGAGCTGCGTGTTCAGCCCCTCACACAGGGTGACTTCCAAGGGCCACCTGCTTCAAACTCTCCTCCACAGGGACCTAAGTTTCCTCAGGACTCCTTCATCCAGCCTGCACACAGCACACAGGCAACTAGACTCTTTGCTTCTTGACAGGAAGGTCTGAATTTCTCCTGACTTTTTTTCCCACACAGATTCTGACCCAAGTGGACCAAATGGCCTTAGGCAGGTCACCACTTTCGCTCTATACATGTCAGTGCCCACACCTCTAAAATGGATATACCAACAGCAGCCTTGCTGGTTCCTAGGAAGATTACCAGAGGGCATGCACATTGAGTCTGCTGGAATTCTGGCCAATAGTACATTCTCGATCAACATTAGTCCCACCCCTGCCTCATCACCACTGTGGAGTCACACGCGGTGTTTATGATAGCCTTGGAGGGGAAAAGTGGATGGCATTAGGAGCAACTGGTTTCTAGAAGCAGAAGCGAAGAGGCTTTAAGAGGTTTATTTAAAGAGAACACTAAATTGGTGACATAAAAATTATCTCTACAGGGGTGAGAGCTGGGGTAGAGACTAGTAGAGGAAGAGTAGTGTAGAATGACTAGAGTAAATGAGAGGAAGGAGACAGGGCACCTTCTGTGTTAGTTGAAGTCAGCTGGAATACTTAGGAAGGAAGTTACAAAGCTCACCTTATACAGGACCCGCCAGAACAGATGCTCTGAGACTTGCCTCAGGTGACTGCCTTATTTATTTATTTTTTAATATAATGTTTCTTCCCAGTTCTGTCAACAGATTCAATCCCCCATCCTCTCTCTCTTTGAGCATACCTCTCCTCCGCAGCATACACCTGCTAGACCTTCTGAGAGCTTAAATAGAGACTTCTGGAAGATGTGGGAGCGGAAGTCCACCTCTGTTTAATGACAGCCACTGATCGCATCGCATCACTGCCATCAAAAGCACACGTGTGGCTTTTCTGAGCCCTCATGCAGAGCCTGCCACCGTGGTCCCGCATCTGTCGGCCCACGAGAAACAGCGTTCTCGGACCTCCCAGCAAAGCAGCCCTGAACTGCAGCAAAACCCAGCAACACACTCAGCAGCAAGCAGCCAGCGGTTTATCCAGGGCCACCAACCCCAAAGAGCTGGGATGAAAGCAGATGTGAGAGAGGGAAAGGATCTGTTTTTGTTTTATTTTCTACCAGGCCCAGCTCTTTGGGAAATAAAAAAGAAGAAGAAGAATCATCGAGCTCCAAGCTGGTGCCCTGCCAAGCTTCCTCCCCTCCCTTCCTAGTCCAAGCACTCCACCGTCTGTGCAGACTGCATAACAGCAATTTCTGGAAGCAGGCTGAAGAATCTGGGCCAGTCCAGAGGCAGTGCATTCTCGGTATCTGTGTGGTGGGGTTTTAGGGATTTTATTTTTCACCTTAATTCTTTTAGCAACTGCCAGCTCTTTGAAGCACATCTGTTATCAACAGCTTCTGTTTGTAAAATGAGACTGAAGGTATCCTCTCCAGAGAAATTCCTGAATCTTCTCTGTAGTTCAATACTTCCACTGACAGTTTGGCTCACAAAGTACGACTGTGGTAAATATTAAAGAATGTTAATACAAATGAGATAAAAAACACCTAGGGATCTTTTTTTTTTTTTTCTTTCCTCCCAAATTCTGCTTTGCTCACTACTAAAGTTAATCTTGACAGAAAATTTACTTCTCTGATCCACATCATTTCCCAAAGCAATTTTCCAACAGCAAACATAAATTTCTGGTGATCGCTAAGAGGTTTGCAATCCCTGTGCTAAGGACGCCATGGGGTTTCAACTGTTTGTCTTACCTTCAGGTAAATGTCCTTCACTCAGGACACTATCACTAGAGGACCCTGGGCAGCAACTAGGGGCAAAGGCCTGAAAAGGAGTTTGTGGGGTTTCCAAAAGGACTGGGGTTGGCAGGGTAAGATGGTTTGAGTATCAAGATTGAATCTTGAGAAGGTAATTAAGTCATTAACTAAGAAAATAACTGCCTAAGCCCACATATCTGTGCTCTCAAATGGGATGAGGCACTAAGCAAATGCAATACCTTTATATTGTGCTGAACTTTGAGCTGGTTAACACAGATTACATTTATACCTTGTCAAAGGTGGGAGTTAAGCACATATCATGAGATAAAATTTGTGTTCTTCTCTCTGTTGTGTTTGGTTTGTCCTCAGCCTTTAGGGTGCTAGGGAATAATAAACGAATGGACTTTGGGATAAAATAGACCTGGATATGAGTCCCAGTTCAGCCACACACAAGCTGTGTCATGTGGGGCAAGGGATCAGTCTCTATTAGTCTAGAGATGGTTTGAAATTTCTACCTTGAAGGTGTTGGGAGGATTGATATTGATGTCTGTGACACATTTTGCACCTGCTGGGCACATAGTGTTCAATAAGTATCATTAGTATCATCGTCCTCATATTATTTCTAATACCAAACACATCTATTACCAATAGAGTACATTTTGACTGGAAAGAGGGAATCTCCTTTACAAGGCTATTTGCGATAGAATGAAATTCAGTCTATGGATCTCCTTATATGGAGTCACATAAAATAATTTATGTGACAGCACTTTATAAGCCGTAAAGTTTGCTGAAAACATAAGGCATTGTTAGGGGTCTTTTCTGATGTATCCAAACTCACCCAAAGATGCTGAAGTCATTTCTGTCACTCTCACTTTGCCCATGCTTTCTCTGTATTCTCCCTTTCTTTCTACTCATTCAAATTTTCATGACAGAAACTCAGGTTCAAGTTCTAAATATATGTATTAAGCCATTCCCGACACCTCCAGCTCATCGTGGTCCTTCCTCTTACCATCAGAAGGTGTTAGAAAAGTCATTGTCCTTAGCACCCATGTTTGTCAGTCTGGCTGCCCCAGGACATTTGTTGGCATTGTCTAGATTCTTAATTTACTTATGTACCATGCATATATATTTTGAATTATATATTATTCATGGCCAGGGCCAACTCATTGTGTCAATTCAATTCAGTTATTTTCTAGGAACCATAGGTAAAACAAAGAGAGCAAGACATGGCCCTACTCTCAATAAAATGGGTACAGTGTCCATATACATGCTGACAACCACAGACAAAATAGGATGCATACTATAACACAGGTGTAGCAAAGTCTTCAGATGATACAACAAAAGGAATGGGTTTTCTCCATTCAGGGAATGGGTGGGAGGTTGCTGAGGGCTTGATGAAGAAGGTGGATTATGCACAAGGTCTAAATGCGTGGGTGGGATAGGACAGGGAGAATGGAAGGAAGAGTCTCCCAATAGAACAATGCATGATGTACATCGTATAATAGCATGGAGGCAGGCAAGTGAATGGAGTATGGGCCAAGTGCACTGGTGAGGTTCTCAACAGCATGTGCTGATTTGATTTTTCATAAGTAGGTACTTAATCAGCAAGACAGTGGAGGATCTAATTTTGTTCCATTTCAATATGGAATGTATCCTACCTGTAACAACACAAGTTGGTAAGAAAACACTAACCACTCCTGTATCTTCCCCCTTCACTCATCGTTAAAAGGAGACTAGAGGCCAGAGTAGTGTTTCCTAAGGTGCCCTGAGGGGAAAGTCATTTCACAGGGAAAGGAACAGAAGGGAGTACTTAAAGGGGGATGCCAGACATCAGAGCAAAAAGAGGTTTAAAGAACATCTTCTGAGATTGGAAGGATAATGTGGTTACAGCAGGCAGCGATGTGGGGAGGTGTCAGGATTCTGTGAAAAGTGGTTATGAGAGGCTCCAAAGGAGGCTGGGTCATGGGCACCAGTGGGTCCAGCCTCAGAAAAGACTCCGGTGACCAAGCATGGCAAGAGGCAGCAGTCTGCCTGCCTTTGAGGACCACACAGACACACTCTATGAGTAGGTGAGTGGAGGTCACGTGGCCTGAAGATCAGAGCACCATTCCTGAGAGTTCTGGACCATTGCACACTCAAGAGGGGGGTTGGCATAGTAAGAGGATCTTTATAATGATTGACAGTCAATTTGCCTGGGATGTGGGAGGGAGCACTTCTAGCGGATTAGATGCAATTTTGAAAAGAAAAAAGAGGCAAACAAAATATTTTTACCTTTGTTGTAAAGTAAATTTTATAGCCATGACACTGAGCATTATCACACAAGCCATGCCTATCTAACACCATTCAAACAGTGGTGGCTGAAATGTTACCGGCATTCTTTACAAATTTATGTTTGAAGGCTTCAGTCAGGAGACCATTTAATTCTACAGAATACTTGAAGTGTCTGATGCACATTGTGACGGGTCCCTAATTTGCATTCCTATCGGGAGTCCTGGCTTCTTCAAATTTTATTTATTTATATAAGTATCCAGTGGGTCCACTGGGACAAAATAAAAGGAAACATTAGGACTAATGACGGGTCCCTGGAGTTTGTCTCTTGATCAAAGTCCAAAAGTAAAGGTGGCCATCAGTATCTCCACCATGCCCTGGGAGACAAGAGAAACACTCAAGAGGTAAGAATGTCAAGATACTTGGGCTTGATCTTGAGCTGTTGTTTGACTGTCATTAGAGGTGGACACTTTTGAGTATGACACTGATGCCGTTCCCCGTGTCCCTAGACTGAGACTGAGAAATAAAATTGTAATAAGAGATATAGTAGTGTGGTACATATTATTGGCAATATACTCAATAGCCATTCCCCACTTCCTTCATCCATGACAGCAGTCTGCCACCACAATAAAGGCTAAAAATGTCACAGACTGGTTTTACCAGCTTGCTTGAAGCCAAATCATGGATGCCCAATGAGATAGGGAACTTCTACTAGGGAACTTCTTGGTAATATTTCATTCCCAGAAAAAAAAAGTGATATGTAGATGGAAATGCCTTCCCTTTTGGCCCATGGACAACCATCCTGATTCCTACAGTGAACAAACACAAGGACTAAATGAAGTTACAGAGCTGAAAATGGAAAGAGATTGGTCTTGATGCCTCTACTGTGCCCCAGCCTGGGGCATCCACCTCTAGACCTAGTGCTGTGTGAAACAATAAACAACTATTATTCAAGCCATTGGAAAGTGAGTGATTCCATTACTTGCAAACACAAGGATTTTAATTAATGTTTTAGATAAAGTGGGATAGAGACAGGGAAGTTTAGAAAGCTAAAAGCGTAAGGCCAACATCTTAAGGAGCCGGGAAAAGCAACATCTTCCAGGAGATAGGGCTGAATCCTGCCTTGCCTCTGTGAGGATTCTAAGGGATGCTCAGAGATGATGAAAAGAATGTGATTGAAGGTCAGAGATGATGGGAGGGATGGTGTTGATGGCTTCACAACAGTGGAAAGGCCCAGTAACGAAGAGAAAACTGCACTGAACAGGAAATGAAGAACATGGAAGAAGAACTGGTCAGGGCCATTGTGTAGCAGGGTAAAGAGAGGAAAGGCCTCCACTTCTGTCCTACTCAGCCTCAGTCCATGGAAGGAGGGGTTTGAAGAACTACCCTGGATAGGGCTCAGAGCTGAAAACCATAGCCAATACCTTTGCAGTTATGAACATTATTTTTTGACTGCCCACCTTGAGATGGTTTGGCCTGTGGAATTGGGACTCCTTTTGCCTTTGGAGGAGAATGAGATATGGTAGTATTGCACCATCCAGAATTAGGCTTCCTTAAGCTCCAAATAAGTACACTGTATTCCATTCAATTAACTCACCATCCTCATCTTCTTACAAATATTATCCTTTATTAAGACATTAAAGTAAGCCAATAAGAACAGGGGTAGTACCATGAAACTTACAACATCCCTTGCTATAACTGAAGCTGAAGCAGGAAGGCAGAATCCCTGCCACTTTTGTTGCTATGAATGGGATGATTCTATTCATGCTAATTGTGGCTTGGTCAGGGAAACTGAGATAATGCAAGTTAAATACCTGGCATGATGCCTGGAATTAACCATTCAATAATTATGAGTGAACAGCCCCTTTTCCTTTCTCTCTCTCTTCTCCCTTCCTTCCCATTCCCTTTCTTTCTTACCTCTTCCTTTTTAAACCCTTCATTTCCTCTCCCCTCTTCTATCCTCTCACTGTATGTTCAGCATATGCAGTAGCAGGAGAACTGTCTTTCTCCCTGCCCCTCCAGCTCTGAGAGAGCACAGGGAAGCTCTTCCCAGCTGCCCTTAGCTGCAATGGGGTAAAGGGGCTGCATATACAATCAGTCATCATCTGTTGTAACTCATGAGACATCTTCCTATTGAAGTAATGTCATAGAATTGGGTACTTCCCTAACCTATCAAACCATACGTATTGAAAACTCAACTCAAGTGCCATCTCTGGGGTTGTGCTGAAGAGGTTACTCTCTTTGCATGTAAATCTCTCACACCAAGAGTGTCTCATGACTTACCCTTTGATTCTTTTTTAAAAATTTATATTGTAAATTGGCACATAATTGTACACATGTATGGGTTATGGAGTGCTATTTTGACACATGTATACAATGTGTTGTGATCAAATCAGTGTGATTAGTATATCCATCACCTCCAACCAACATTTCCTTAATATTATCAAATATTCAGGCAGTGTTAGTACTCCTAATATTCTCTTTTTCCTTTCCCCCTTCTCTTTGATCCTTACTTTGAATCAGAATCCCAGCAAAGTTCACACTCTCATTGGTTGATAAGTCTTTTAAGTCTCTTTTAATCCATAGGTTCAATTACCTCTCATTAATTTTCTTTCCCTCTTACAATTTATTTGATGATGAAACTTAGTGATTTGTCCTTTGGAATTACCCATATTCCAAATTTTATTGATTTTGCATGACTTTTCAAATATCATCCTCAAACTCCAAAGTTCTGCCTTGTTCAATCTAACCCTCATAAAATTGCTTTCCTTTTAAAGAAAAATTGCAATTTGTTGTCATTCCTTTGCTTATCGCCTTGAGTATCCTCCAGCCCATATTTTGCCTGACTTTGACTAATATCCTTTCATTTTGATAACCATGATTTACCTAACAACACTTCTTCCTGAGAGAAGTTGGCCCACCTGGAGTGCTCTTTCAATCAGTTTCACAATGTTCACTGGTCTATTCACCCAGAGGGGCTTGCTTAACTTTCCCTAAGATTACAAATCATAACCAGTCAATAGTAGGTGTTGTTTTGATTTTAAAAACTGTGCCACATGAATACTTTTTAAAGGTACTTTTCCATTATGAATAAACACAGAAATATTTACTATGAGATTATATATGGGATTTGCTTTAAAATAATGGGAGGAAGCAGTGGTGGTTTAGATGGGGTAAGATTAAACATGGTTAATTTTGTTGCAGCTGGATAATGCTGGTAGGAGGGTTCATTGTATTATTCTATCTGCTTCTGTTTAAATTTGAAAATTTTCATAATAAAAAGTAAAAATGAGTTGTACTCCATCGCTAAAACTAAGTAATGAGGCATTTCATTATAGGGGCCTAGATTGTAATATTTTTGCCAAGGATCATCAAAAAAATCATGTCTGAGGAACAATGTGCTTGCTTTTCTCATTCTCTAGATTTGATTTGCTTAAAAACAAGTCAGTTTTAAACTAAGAAAATCAGCATATAAATAACATTTAAATAAAATGGGGAAATGGTTTGGAATAAATGAAAATATAAGTCACATAGAGGTGGTTCATAGGTTTTGTGATTTGTCTACGCTGCCTTTCTTAAGACTCTAGTGTGGCAGAACTCATTGACATACCCCTGTAACCTCCCTATAGCTGACAGAAGACTCCCAGAAGAGGAGTGACAGCAAGACGAAAACCACTGGATTATCCCACAAGAAATAAATGCCAGCATGGGTTATGAATGTCACACTTGCACGCTTTTCTTACTACAATGCCAGAGGTACTATTTTTCCAGGATGAAAGTTGAAAGCAAACCTTTCCAATCTCTTCACTTAGTATTTTTTTTTTTTTATTCCATCCAACTGTTGACAAGATGAGAGAGTTTACCACCTTTGGCTTTCACTAGCCACATATACTAGAAAATACCTTTTAAAAATACATAGCCTTTATTAATAGTTACTTTTCTATTTCTCTATTAGTATAATATTTAATGAAGTAATTTCATCAATAGTAATTATTTTTTAACTGTAATCAGCTGTGCAACTGCAAGATTCATAGTATGAATTTGCTTCGATATATCTTTCCTGAAGTTGCATGAATTTAATATTATATATGGAAATTCTCAGCCAGTCCAGTTGAGGATAATTAAGGGAAAAGAGTAAGAACCAAGGGCTCTAAATAGAAAGGGAATAAAGACAGATGCAGAGTGAGAAGAGATGTTTTTGTGTGAAGCTTGGAAGACATAAGGGAACCTGCCCTTTGATTCTTTATACCTGCAGACACTAATGACACTTTTTTTTTTTTTTTTTTTTTCTGAGACAGAGTCTTGCTTTGTTGCCCAGGCTAGAGTGCCATGGCGTCAGCCTAGCTCACAGCAAACTCCTGGGCTCAAGCGATCCTACTGCCTCAGCCTCCCGAGTAGCTGGGACTACAGGCATGCGCCACCATGCCCGGCTAATTTTTTCCATGTATATTAGTTGGCCAATTAATTTCTTTCTATTTATAGTAGAGACGGGGTCTCACTCTTGCTCAGGCTGGTTTTGAACTCCTGACCTTGAGCAATCCGCCAGCCTCAGCCTCCCAGAGTGCACTAATGACACTTTTTAGAAAACAACTTCTTAAACCACTTAGTGATCTATTTCAGTGATTAAATCCCTTACTCTCAAGTGCTCTCCCCTTAAACCTAACTTGTGTATTTCAGATTAAACCTATTAGTAAGATACTTGTTCCTGTCACTCTCTCATCCTTTACATATCCCCAAAGACTGATTTGGAGAATGGCATAGGCTTGATTCCCATTGATTCAGATGCTGCACTTTTTAGAAACTCCAAGGACTTCACCTCCAGAAATGAATCACCTCTGCAGACCCCAGGCTGGACAGACATAGTCTTTAAATTGCCGATGAGCTCAAACCCCGGCCTGGGCCTTGACAATGTGCCACCTTAATGGCACAGATCCTGAGCAAGCACCCAGAGACATTTCTGAATATAATTTGTGTGTAATTAATCTCTGGCCACCCTGGGGATCTCAAATCCCTTCAGATCAATGGAGCCAAGAGGTGGCATTTTAGCTAATAGGCAATAGCATTTTATGGCTCTCTTGAGAAGGCAGACAGAACTGATGGTATTTCCCTGCAGC